CGACATCAGAAATGGATATTATATAATAGATGCTTTTTTGAACATTTTAGCAATTTAAAAATATTAAAAAATGATTTTTTACACGGCACCCCTGCTCTCGACAGACGGCACCCCGGTTGGGAAACACTGGTTTAGATGACTAAAATTAAATATTATATGAATATAAAATACACCGTCTAAAGGTTTGGGGTCTCAAAGTTTTTTTTTCTAATGTTTCTAAAAGAAGGCTGCATTTATTTGATCACACAATACAGTAAAGCAGTGATATTTTCTATTTTATTATATTATAAATGTAATGCATTTCTGTGATGCAAAGCTGATTTTCAGCATCATTACTTCAGTCTTCAGCGTCACATGATCCTTCAGAAATCATTATAATCTGCTGATTTGCTGCTGAAGAAGCATTTATTTTTATCAATCAATTTTATCAGTAATGTGTCTATTTTTCTATTATTGCTTATTGTTACCAATTAATAATGTTACCAATAATAATCAGAAAATATGGAATAAAATAGTGGAATATAAAATAATTATTGGCCTGTTTAGCCAAGCCTTTCATGAAACAAACAAAACAAGCATGCAGATTAATAAAATAACACATATTATACAATACATTCCACATGAATTGTATTTGATGATTTGTTAATTGCATTTAATAGACTACACTTTCAATAAAACATTTGTGATTGGTTTGTAAAAGGTCTTTTTATGCATGTTTAGCCTGAGTTTTTGTTGCATTTACACAGTTTTGACCAGTAGACGTTATCAGCGCGTGAATCATTTTGTCAAGCAATTGGTTCAACTGATTCAAAGTTTTGAAAAGATTTGTTTCTCCCACCACTAACACATACTTCTCTTATCATTTCGTAACAGTAATAACAATATACTAGTATGCAGTTCTGAATTCAGCCAACACAGACCTGACCCGAGTTTCAGATAGAATATTAATTTATATCTGCGCTTGTGCATGAGAAATCAATTCTGGGCGCCTTCTGGAACAAGAATGAGACAGATTTTTATATAAAAGAACTGAGCATGAATTAACATCCAGATGGGCAAAAGCAGCCCCATGGTGAAAAATGACTGCACTGAAACACAATTTATACACCATTTAAAAAATAATAACAAAAAATAAAGTGAAATGGAAAACCTGAAACAGAAAAAAATGTTTTTTTCCCCCGCCTTGCCCAATAGTGGCCACATTTGGCAAACTACAAAAAACACCATGAAAAGCACTATGAGGGTGTTTTTGCACTATATTCCGAGTCTCCTGAAGTCATATGATATCTTTGTGTAAGAAAAAGACCCAGATTTAAGTCAGACTAGAGATTAATTGGTCAACACAAATCCATCTGAAAGTAATGAAATTCTGGGTTTTGTAATGAAAAACTTTTTTAATTTATTACTTTTATATACTTTTTTCGTTATTTATTTCTTCCCTTTCTAGCTTGTATTTATTTGAACAATTCCTGAAACTTGGTATTACGAGCACTTCCTGTGTCTGTTTACCTCTTTAAGAAGAATCGATTGTATTCCCCAATTGTAAGTCACTTTGGATAAAAGCGTCTGCAAAATGACTAAATGTAAATGTATTTCAGTTACAACATTTCAAATTATCTTTTCAAATCATATAATTTTTCATCTTATATTTAATTTAATTTAATTATTTTTTATTTCAATTAGAATTTAAGAATTTAAATTTTCTTTAATGATAACAACACTGTGACATTGGTTCTTTTAGCATTGCGTTGAATAACCAGACAGCAACATTAACTCAACCAATGGCTTGAGTTTGAAGCAACCAAACTTTGTTTGACTGACCAAAGAGATAAAATATTATTATTATTATTATTATTGTTGTTGTTGTTATTGTTGTTGTTTAATTTAATTTGATGCTGCTAGTGGTTCAGAAATCACATCATGAACAATTTTTAAATTCTTTTTAAGCATTTCTTGTACCACATAACAAAGCTCAGCCTATTTTTCCTTTCGACATGCCTTCACATGTCCCAGTAGATTTCTGTTTCATGCCTCTTGTGCTCATGTAGCTCGTTAACATTTTATGGAGCATTAAAGCAAACTTAAGAGAGGCTTTTCCATCTGTAATGCAGTTAATGATCTTTCCCATTCCCAGCTAAGGCATGTCCAGCTGCTACTGCTCTGGAGGAGTGGAGAACTTGTAATGATCATCCATGTATCACGTTCTACTGGGAAGCGTCGCCATGGGGACCATGCATTGAGGACTCCTCCATGAATCTAAATGGCACCGGCTACTGGAACGGAACGGCCACCTGTGCAGTCGGTGTGCAGATTCGTAAAGTGGTCTGCATGAAAATGGGCATCGGGCCAGTTATTCCCAAAAGGTGACTTATTTTTTTGTATGAAATTTTTAATCTGTGGATTTGTGTATTTCCACACACCACATTGAAGTGTTCACAGTGGCATTTTGTGGAGGTTAGATTACTAAATGTAGCGAATCAGCTCATAAGGGAAATATGAATAATTAATCATAACTAGTTATAATTAATTATAAATATTTAGATCCGCTGTAGATATTTAATTGACCTCTCAGGGTCAACTGTCTGTCAATTCTAAGAACGTTAATTTCCTGGTTAAGGGAAATAACTTTCTTACTGTACAACTCTACACAGAGCTTGTAGCATAAATCTGCATGATAAGGGACTCCAGTTATGAGCAAACAATGAACAACGTCAAGTGTGATACAAGTAAGGCTTTATTAACTACATAAACACTTAAACTAGTCTAACATACTACATAAACACTTAAACTGGTCTAACATACACACACACACACACATACAGTTGGTATAGGAAAGGGTTAAAGCTTAACGCAGTAAACAGGAGAGAAATAAGAACAAAGTTATGGAACCATTTGCATATTCAGCAGATTTACACCTGAAGGAAACATCAGATTCTTAGTTCAAACACACCTTTGTAAAAAGGTGCCAATGATCAGTGATTTTCACTACTCACATTCCATCAGGTCGTAAACGGCTCTGGTCTAGCAAAGGTGTCGGGGTTGCCATGGTAACCAGTGGCCTGTGGTCATTCGCAGACATCCTGGCGCCCAGTCTATTGGGTGAGGGGTCTGTGACGACTTGTTAATCTAATGAATAACTGATTTGTTAAATCAAATTAAAAATTGTGTTTTTGATTGGTCCAGACGCTACATAAAGCACATAGATTTTCCACCACTGCTCATAGCAGTTGAAATTGTGTATTTTACTAGTCTTTGGTGTTCACTGCTTTTAATCTGAAATAACATAAATCACTTACTGTAGCTGTCAGATACAGGCAACAAGGCTTTGTTCAAACAGGCAGCAAAATCAGAATTTATTTTTTATTTTTTTGGCAAATCCAAATTAAATCTCTTTAGTTCGTAAGAATAATAGTAGTCCAAGGCACTCGAATCTTATTCAAAAAAAATTTAAAAAGCCTTTATTTCATCATGGCTATAAGTTTTAATAACAGGTGACAAGTGCACACCTACGCGTTGCGGCTATTTTGCCTTCGTCACCCTGATTCGAGTGCCTTGGACTACTATTATTCTTACGAGTTGAATCATCCCTTGCACCCAAAGAGCACCGAGACTAGAAACCCAATACCCCGTGTAGCACTTCTTTTGCATTTTTTAGTTCGATAAATCTCTTTAGTTGTTTGTAGTCTGAACAGCAAAAAAACTAATTGAAAACCTATCCTTGTGTGATTTTAAATCCGATTTAAATCAGATTTAGGAAATGCACTTCATTCAGTACAGTAAGATCATATCGAACATCATTTCGTTTTTTCATAATTTGGGATTAGGTGTGACTAACATCATATACAATTTGGTCGCAGATGTAGGCACTATTGCACTTTATCTCATTTACATGCATGTAGCACTCGCTATGTATGAATGATCAAATAAGGGAATGGTTTTGGACACGATGTATGTATGAATGAGCAAAATGTGGTGATGCCTTTAATGCTTATGCTTTTTTTGGTCAATATAAAAACATGACAACAACTTAACAAGCACCTTGTCAAATACATTCAGTTTCCTCATCAAATATGTGCTGGCATAAAAGTTTTGCAGTGTTCCTGAATCCAGCCTATTTCCTTTATGGGATCATCCATTTTTATAGCTTTATCTTTAAAACATTGTCAGCATTTTGTCTCCCAGATATATATATATATATATATAGATATCAAATACAAGAGGCATAATATCACACACACAAATTTGGTCAATAATGTACTTCTCACATGGAAATATTTCCGTCTGCTAGCTTTTGTGAATATATGTACATTTTGCTTGATCATAGCACTAAATTAAGGCAGATATTATTAGGTGCTGCTTCTCTGGGATGCGTCTTTGAACAGCAAAACTGGGAATTAGTGTTTCACGTATTCTTGCTACACAATCACGCAATCCTGAAATCCCACTTTGATAGTTTTCCATTCCAACACCTTCGCTCAAGCAGCAGAAGCTGAGATTCAGAAATATTGGTGGGGCTTGCTGCAGCTTGTGGTACTTTTACACAGCATGAATGAAATATACAGTAAAAACTGAAAACGGTTCTCAAGAGTTTCGCATTTCCCTGACCTTTTCTCAGGAGAAGATTGCTGGTTTACTTGTGCTGAAACCATATCTTGTACATTGAGTCTGTCAATATTCTCAGTCTTATGATGTAAGTGACTCTGAATGCAGGCTCGACTGATTTTTCTGTATGAGAGGAGTGGAGGTTCGTGTTGCCCTAAGTCTTTCCTTCATAAATGTTTCCTGTGGGAGTGTTGTAATGGCACTTTGGGTAAGATAAATGTTCTATTGCATTGCATGGAGAAGATATTGTGTTGCGCATCAGGAAAAAGGACTCATAAATAATGCAGCCGTTTATCCATTTCGTTCTTTTATATTAATGACAGCAACATAAAAGTGAGTTTATGGGCTGGTGTATTTCATTGGCCTGGTAATAGGTTTTGGCTTGACCTCAGTTGTGAGAGGGGGACTGTCTTGAAAAAATAAAAAAATAAAATAAAAAATAGCATTTTCCCCAAATTCGATAGCAGCATAATTAAGATCTACTTTTTGCAGCGCACCTATGATGTCAACAGTACATAGATTTTTGAAGAGACCAAGTATATGTTTATCTTATTTTATTTTTATTTATTTATTTATTTATTTTTATTGCATGCATGCATTTAAGAACCATTAAGATCTGGACTTTTTAAACTTATATGTGACCCTGGACCACAAAACCAGTCATAAGGGTCAATTTTTTGAAAAATGAGATTTATACATCATCTGAAAGCTGAATAAATAAGCTTAATTTAAATAAGGGTTAAATAACCCTTTTAAATAAGGGTTGTTAGGATAGGACAAAATTTGGCCGAGATACAACTATTTGAAGATCTGGAATCTGCAAAAAAATCAAAATATTGAGAAAATCGCCTTTAAAGTTGTCCAAATGAAGTTCTTAGCAATGCATATTACTAATCAAAAATTAAGTTTTAATATATTTACGGTAGGAAATTTACAAAATATCTTAATTTTTACTTAATATCCTAATCATTTTTGGCATAAAAGAAAAATCAATAATTTTGACCCATACAATGTATTTTTGGCTATTGCTAAAAAATATAACCCAGCGACTTAAGACTGGTTTTGTGGTCCAGGGTCACATATATTCTCTGAAAACAAATCTTCCTTTCTGAAAAAAAAACAAGACAGGGATACTAATTAATAACAATTATTATTTATTTATTTATTGCTGCAGTATAAACCCTATATTGAGTTCGCAGTGGGAGAGCAAAAGGCATATCGTTGTGTTAAGGAGAAAGAGTTGTTAGATACCACTGTGTTTACAAATTAATTGGTAATCTAGGCTTCTTTACAGTCAGGAGAGAACAAATCACACTCTGGTTTATAGTGATCTGACACACATACACACACCTGCTCTCACCCACAGATGTACTGAAGTATAAATCAGAGATGGATGTGCTGTATATGGCATATATGTGTTTGATGGTGTGAGTAAATTTATGTGTTTGTGTCAAACACATATCATATCCCTTGTGCCCTGCCGCATGTGCTGGAGGCAAGAACAGAACATCAGTTATATAGTGCGTGTTCTGTCGTCATGTGGAAGCAGCTGATGTTTCATACGTAGGTGGAGTGTGTTCAGCTCTCCACTTTATTTAAAACAGCAGGGCTGAGCTATTTAAACACCCTGATATATGAAATGACCCAACAGGGAGATGTTTGTTTATCTTACTGCTGCTAGACTGCTTCTTTATTAATATTCTTTTCCTGATATGCTTGCATGAAGAGGAAAACAAACCAGGTTCTATATAGGTGCAATGCGACACATTTGTCTGACAACTATTTATCTGTCAAATGAAATGTGAAAGCGCTGATCTCAGCCAATCAGAGGATATTTAATGTTTAAATTACAGTTATATGGAACAGGATTCTTTTTTTTATTTTTTTATTTTGGACCAATGAAATGTGGGGTGATGCAAGTTTAAGCTTGATTTTTCCGATTCTATTCCCCCCTCATTCCACATCATTTCCTGTCTTCTCTCTCTGCTGCTGCTCTCCACACTCTCTCTGCTGCCACATCATTTCCTGCCTTGTCTTTTAATAAATAGAATCACTTTAATCCACGGCCTTGTGTGAATTATTGATTTTCTAAAACTATGGCAACAGCAAGATGATAAAACAGTGTTCAATTTTTTTTCATTATTATTTATTGTTAATAATAATCGTAATAATAATTATTCAATTAAGTCATTTGCCTACATATAGGATATAACTGTTTTAATCAGAATCGTTTATTATTAGTGTTGTTGTTGTTTTACAACGGATAGGGTAATGAACCCTATCAATCAGAATAGTTTTAATATTAGTATATTAATATTAATATTATTAAACAGAAATGTGTCATTTCTGCACCACCCGCCTCACCAAATTGCAAAAAAATGTTTTTTGGCATTGATCTCACCAAACTTATGCCATTGGTTGAGTCAGAGTTGCTGTGTTGGGATGAAACAAAGAGGAAAATGTTAAAAACATTAGTCACAGTCACACTTTTAAGGGAAATCAGCTTTAATTATGAATTTAACTAGTGTTTTTATCATATTGCTTTTGTCATGAGACGTAATGCTTGCTTTTAGAACGGCTTCAGGCACAAACATGCCTCATCCAATTATACTACATTTTATGCTGGAAAAAATCCAAACACATGCTTTATTCGTGCTTGGTTTCCATACAGAGGAAAAGACAGGGTCAACCTGTTGTCATCTGTGATGTCTCCTCTGCTCTGTCTTTCTTTCTACTGATTTCTTGCATTTATCCTCCACCCACTCTTTTGTTCCTTTCCTAAAGCTCTGTAGCATCATTGCCTTTGGGTGATTGCCCTCTGTAATGACATTCTGCTCCACAGAGCACAAAAGTGAGCGAGATACAGATGATTCATGCCTCTGTTCTTTCTTGTCCCCTGCTTTGATGTGTCCTGTTTGCTGGTCTCCAAAGCCTGTAGTTGGTAGAGCCCTGCTGAGCCCTGCTGCCTCTCTTTAGAGCTGCTGCATGCTGGGAATTGAACCAAGCCTGGAAATGAAATGTCCAGAATCCAGCTAATAGGGATGGACGTTCTCCAAGGGGCAACATGCTCTCAAACAAAAGCATGCACTCACACTCACAAGGACACACATGAGACAAACTCCTCAGCAGGATGTACGGCCTAGTGCATATGTAAGGGATCATGTACAGACATCCAGTCATTATTGCAAAATAATGGCTCTTGTTTCACCCTGAAGGGGTTTGTTTTGTGAAAATTACCGTCTGGCTGTACATGATCCCTTATATATTCACCAGGGAGAATTGTATTATCCCGCCTACGACTTGGCTGTTTACCAAATAAATCAATGTGTATGAAATATTGATTTAAGTTACATAATATGTTTAATATGTTAGAAGAAACTGATACCGCAGAGTGCTAGGAGATGTATTATACAGGTGTATATGAAAAAGTAAGTACACCCCATGGACAGTAAATGTTGGGGGGTGTACATATTTTTTCCACAGAAGACCATTGAAATTCTGTTGATAATTTTTGTTTGACAAATACCTATAAACTTTGACATTTTTTTCAGTTACGTCACCCATCAATACTGTCAAGATAAAGTTCTACCGTTCAAACGTTTGGAGTCAGTAAGAATGCATTAAATAAAAAAGTGGGGGGAAAAAGTGACACAAGTTTCCACAAAAATATTAAGCAGCACGTAAGAAATGTTTCTTCAGCAGCAAATCAGCATATTAGAATGATTTCTGAAGGATCATGTGACACTGAAGACTGGAGTAATGATGCTGAAAATTCAGCTTTGCATCACAGGAATAAATTACATTTTAAATTGTGTAAAATATCATATTTTAATACATTTCAGTTATTTTAAATTGTTTTGACTATTTAAAAAAAAAAAAAAAAAAAAAAACTTTAAAAAATCTTAATAACCCCAAACCTTTGAATGGTACTGCATGATCCACATATGTTGGGAAAAAATTAATTGGGTTTACTATTTTTTCACAGCATTGTATGTTCGAAATTGGTTGACAAATACACAGTCATTACACAAAAATGTGACCTTAGAGCACTGATCGACCAATCAGAATCAAGTATTGTAGAGAGCCAAATAATAAACACACTTTGCATTAGATGAGAGAGTACAGTCTAGAGAGCTCTGTGTGGGTGTTCTCTCTTATCTCTCTCCCTCATCTCTCTCCCTCTTAAGAAATCTAAAGGCTCACATAACCTCTTGCTCCCTGTCAGTCATACCAAAATAACTCACCTTTACCGTATACTCACTCAGATACAATCAGCTGCAGCCTCTTCTGGTAAGACGCAATAAATATTACATCAACTTCCCCTACAATGTGGTCGTGATCTTCTGTTACACAGATAGTGTCATTGTAACTGTGTTGCATCTGTACATGATAATGTCTGGGTTTGTGGGGTACAGTAAATCAAACAGTACTTACAGTCAGCACAGATGATATCTGCACCCATGCTAGAAGGTCAAGGGCAAAGTGACTGCAGTGTGAATCAAGACAGCTTATCACTGATCATGGAAAAATGTTCCTTCTCTCTGTTCTCCGTGTGTGTGTGTGTGTGTGTGTGTGTGTGTGTGTGTGTCATAGGTGTCCAGAATCTGCCCGACCAGACACCATTCAGCCCTGTTTACTGCCCTGTAAGAAAGATTGCATTGTGACTCATTTCAGTGAATGGACAGCCTGCCCTAACACATGCCTGCCAGGTATTGATACAGTCTCTTCACACAACCTTTAGCTGTGACATTTCAGTGGTACCTCACTTACAAGGTACCACTGAAATGTCAGTGGTACAAGAATTTTCACCTGAAAATAAAAAGTCTGTTTATTTTCTCACCCTCATGTGGTGCTCTTATTTGTCCTGTAGAACACATAAGTAGAATTTTTTTTGACTCTTACCATACAACAAGGTTTTTTTTTTTTTTTCAACTAAAAAAAATTTAATTCTGTCATCATTTACTCAACCTCAAGTTGTGCCAAACCTGTATGAGAAGACATTCATCAGGCCTGGAGCAACTTGAGGGTGAGTAAATGATGACAGAATATTCCTTTAATACAGTAATAACAAAAAATAATGCTACAATTTAAAATAACAATTTAAAATTACAATGACACTTTCTGTTTGTATATATTTTAAAATGTAATTTATTTCTGTGAAAGCTGATCAGCATCATTACTCCAGTCTTCAGTGTCACTTGATCCTTCAGAAATCATTCTAATATGCTGGTTTGCTGCTCAAGAAACATTTCTTATTATTATCAATGTTGAAAGCAGTTGTGCCGCGTCATATCTTTGCAGAAACTTTTTTTTTTTCAGAATTTTTTGGTGAATAGAAAGTTGAAAAGAATTTAAGCACTTAATGGAAATAGCAATCTTTTGTAACATTATAAGTGTCTTCACTGTCACTAATGCATCCTTTCTGAATAAAAGTGTTAATTAATCTAAAAAATTCTTACTGACCTTAAACTTTTGAACAGTAATGTATAGTATATCTAGCTCCATAAAGGACCAAAAAAGCACCTTAAATGTATCGTAGAGGTGGTCCATGGTGCCTGTCATAATGTTCCCTGTCTTCTGAAGCCATGCAATAACTTTTTGAAAAGACTGAAATATAAGTTATTATTAGCTGAACATATTGGTGACCTAAGCTCTTGAAAGGACATTATAAACTCTAGGATAGAAAGGCCTGTGTTAACTTTCTTCAAAGAACTTCTTCTTTTGTGATCCACAGAAAAAAAATGTTTGGAGGCTTGTTTGCTCAAAATAGCCAATGCTATGGCTGCAGAGTGAACTGACTTTCTTTTAAAAGGGACTTTGTATAAAAAATAAAAAATGAGCTACATAAACCAGAGTTTATTGTGTTGCCTCATTTAAATTTACTCTAAGTGCCTTTCTATAAACATGATTTTTGCTTTAAAAAATTCCACAAATGCTGTGGATGAATGTTGTGTATAATGAACCAGGAATATTCCAACTTACATTTGATTGAAAACCACATTGCCTAATATTTTGACTCATACCAACTCTCTCTTATCTAATAATTTATTTCTTTTCCTAGGAGATAGAGCATAATATTTACAGAGTTTGTTATTATAAACTAGAATTCATTACCTCCATGAGGACAGTGTGTTGATAAATAATCAGGGATTTACACTTTCATACACTCGAGACTGCTAGGATGTGATGTCTTACACCTCTGCTGTAAACATGGTGAAAGCCAGACCACATACGTGCAGATCATTCTAAGAGGGGCTTTTCTTACCCACAGAACAGTTTTATTATTCTTTAATGAGACAATTAATTGACAATTACTTCCACTAAAGAAACGAGGAGTAAACAGGCATTTATTATGATTGAATCAAATGGTAACATTTGAAGAAATGTTTTAAATAACTGATATCCCCTTTGTAAATAGTGTGATTTACCCTGTTTTGGTCTTCTGTTAATGAGATCACCTTCTTAATTGTGCTATTATCAGTCTTTTAGTAATTAGCAATGTGTAATGAGCCTTACAACGTCTGTTAAATGAAGTCGTTACATCAGCGTAGGATCCATACAGGGAACAGGAAGTGAACTACATGGGTGAAAGTAATGTTTCTTTGTGTTTGTACTGTGCAGTGAACAGCAGCATGCCCTCGCAGTCACGATACAGGATCATCATCCAGCGGGCGGCCAATGGGGGTCAAGAGTGTCCAGATACTTTATATGAGGAGAGAGAATGTGAGGCTCTTCTGGTTTGTCCTATTTACAGGTGAATAAACTGCAGTTGCACTAGTGGTTTACCAATTTCTCAGCTAGACCGATACAATGTTTGCGGTCCAGCCTGTTTTGGTTTTGTGGAGTTGAGAGTATCAAAACCTTTTACAAATGCACACAGCAGTTCAGAATCGCATGCAATGAAATGCATGAATAAATATATTATATGCTGTTTTGTAAGCTTACAATACTATCCTCAAATTACACAAGTAACACATTGTAGCTGTAATTTACTGCACAAGTAAATGCCAAGCTATTTGCACGTTTCTCTGCCTCATGAATATATGTGAATGTGATTTTGCAGTTGTAATAACTTTTTAAATTGTTATTCTGCCAAGTTTATTCACAAATAGAAGAAGGTTGATTTTTTTTAACACAATAATAGTTATAACAGATAGCATTTTGTTTCTGTCAATTTGTCCCATTAAAAAATAAATAAATAAAACACTTGTATGCAGACATTTCCGGAGGAATAACCTGTAGCTCTGGCGCATTGTGTGACTTCATGCTTTTACACCATGCAAATAAACCTCAATCCATGCTTCTGAATGCCTGAAAAGTCACAGGGCGTTGTTGAATAACAATAATGGTTAAAAGTGCTTAATAAGCAAATATATCTTCTTATGTATTTATTGAAAGATAAGTACTGAGTAGATACTGATTAAGTCAGTTTGGTCATTTTTTTACAAAAAGGGTTATTATAGTTAACAAAAATTATATATATATATATATATATATATATATATAAACATTTCTGTTACTTCAAATAACTGAAATAAAATACTTAAACTGTTTTATTTTAGCTAGTTGACAAGGCAATATTTCCCATTTCATGTCGTTTGTTATGATGTTCTAAAATAACTAACACTAAAACTGAAATAAAATGTAATAACTGTATAGACATTTAAAAATAACAAAACTAATAAAAACAACAAAAACAATAAAATGACTAAAACTTTAAGTATAGCTCACTCCAAAACAAATCATATAAATGTAATGGTATTCAGAACAGAACAAGAATGAAATCAAAATATATAAACCAAAACAAAGTGAAACTGAAAGTACCAGTCATTAATTGGGCTCACGTAGGCTACCTCTCATTCGGCACAATTCCTAATGTTTCCATATTTACGATGTATTTGAATGAAACTATTATTTATAATGTAGAGGCTTTGTACTTCATGCGCATTCGTATATCGACAGAAATATCATCTTCACATGAGCAAAAATGTGCTTGGCATACAAAGTGGACCAGTTATACCACGGACTATTTAAATTGACCAGTGTAACCTTTTATATTTTTGGTTGACTATTTTATTTTGGTAATGAACAGACTGCGATGTCAAGTTTGAGTTGCGAATATGTGGTGTGTGTGTGTGTGTGTGTGTGTGTGTGTGTGTGTGTGTGTGTGTGTGTGCGCCGGCGCGATCGAACAGCTGAAACACAAAATAGCCAACATAATTTTTGGTCATACAGATAAGAGTAAGACATAATTCGAAAGCACAAAGTGTTTACTTTTATTTTTGCACACTCAAAATAACAACAGAACATTTGAGATTTTGTAAAATAAAGCAAGGATGCACGTTTAATTAAAACTGTTACTTATTTAAGTCAGATATTTTTTGGATATTTATACCTATACTGTGATTGAATTTTATTTTTACGAAAACACATTTTGTTATTTTTAATGTATCTTAGATATACATTTTCCTAAAATCATCCTGGCAACCCATTTTTGACCCAGGGTTTGAAGCTGTGCCCTAGTTAGGTTAATGCAGAAACTTGTGAACGATGCTCTCTATATAATTGTGGCATCACCGTTTAGTGACGTCATTGAATGTTCCGGGAAAATTTAAGTTGTATTTTCAGTGTCAGTCACAGCGCCTTTTAATTGCTATTTTGGATCCAATTATTCATTTACAAATTAAGCACTGATTGTAACCATAAGACTATTGATATGCAGTGAAAGTGACATGTGGCCGAGTATGGTTACCCATACTCGGAATTAGTGCTCTGCATTTAACCCATCCTAAGTGCACACACACAGTGCGATTATCATGAAAGGTCTGCTTACATGTGTAAATCTTTGTATTATTTTTTGTATTTTTATAGTATATATACAGTATTATATTCATAAGTGCCTATCTTGGACTATAAAAATACATAAAAATGTATTTCATGATAGCAATGCATGGGATTCTATATCACTATAAATCTTCATCTCTTTTTTCAGATGGAAGACACACAAATGGCATCCATGTACTCTGGTCCCAGATTCTGTCCAGCAGGGAATGACAGGAGCCAGTGAATCGTGTGGTAAAGGATTAGAGATGAGAGGTAAGATAAGTTTGCTCTATGTGAAAGAGTGGATTCTCATGGTACACTAAATAGCCACCTGTTGTTGCTCTCCGTCTGAGATATGTGCATCACAGTGGATGTATATGGCTGTGTTCATGGCTTTGAGCTCTGGTTTGTTCATTGGCACTGTACAGTGTGTGAAGTGTGAATGCAGCATGCTGCAACCCCCGGTGTGATTATGACAGAATGGAAGTGAAAGATGTCAAACATCACAGACAATGAAATGGAACAGTCTGCCTTAAGGGCACAGGTGACATGCTTTGGGAAAAAAAAGCATGTGAAGTCACATTACCATACTTTTTGATTTACAGGGCTGTTTCTGTATATGCTTTTATTCTGTAATTTTCACTGTAAAAAATATTTTTTCGAAGCTGTAAATAAAACAGAGATTATTTGAATATGTTTTACAAGAAAATACTATTTCAGTTTTTCTACTTTAAAGTTTCATGTTTAATTCAATGTGTTTAACACCATTTTTTTACTGTAAACATATTCTGTGTAGAAATATCAACATATTCTGACATTTTTGTGCAAATGTCAGTATTATTACAGATATTAACTGGATTAATTTGAGTACAGTTTTTGATTAACTATGTGTCATCACAGTTGAATGTGATTTCTTTTTAGAAATGTTGAAAACTACTCAAATAATACTTATTTATTACTTATTTAATATTTCCATTCAAATAGTTTGAAATATAATGAGTTTTTGATTTAAATTAAAATATCTGTATTCCTGTTTGAATATACATGTTAAACATTATATATATATATATATATTTGATAATGGCATATTGTAGTTATTATAAAGTGTATGTAAAAGAGAGAACTCAAAATTGGAAGCCTATCAAAATGATTTAATAAATAGATTTTTCGAACATCTTCAATAATATTCAAACATTCCGTATTTTTCACAGAAACCTTGAATTTATTGAGATCCAATTAAACTAAATGATTGTGTCCAGAAGTTATTACGTTTAGACACAATGTAATGTGACATTTTAGTGACCTTCCCCGGTTTATCAGAATATCATATTGGTACAGTGGAAGAAAGCTGACATTTTTGTGCCGAGTCAAAGGTCAGTATTATTCCAGATATTGAGTTGCATTCATTAAAATTAATGAGGCCATTCATTGGAAATAATAAGTCTGTGTAAATGTTATCCTGCAATGGAAGATTCAAATAGCCAGCAGTAAGTAGCCCCCATAGCAAGGTTAGGATATGGGTTATGTGAAGATGGACTGCAGCGAGCACTTGCCTGTGTGCAGATTGAATTTCATGGTTTATTTAAACCAGCACTTGACATACTGTTGACCTCCCCTTGGATCTCACTGCATGAGGGAATAAATTAAAGTAAATAATAAATCTCGGCTAATTTACAAATGTTCACTGATTCGTTCCTGCTTTTTATTCTACCAGAACTAACTGCGAGCACTGCCACCGCAACTGCCATAAGCTCTTGTTTTAGCTTAGCCAAGTGATTAAAAATTACGCAGGTTGTTTGTGTACCTGGATGATTTATTGTTGTATTTTAGGCAAGCATCCCCGGCTGGTGTAATTTGATTATGCTTGGCGTACTCAGGTGGAGTGGTGGCTTGAGACAGGCTCACCGCTACACAGATGCAAATGAGCCAGCAGCAGAGTCCTGCTGTGTTTGAGAACACTTGCTCTATCAGCATCCTCCAAAATAAATAAAAGGGCTAGAAGGCAATGCAGTAAATGACACTAAATGAACCAGAAAGACAGACACCTCTGCAAAACTAATGTGAACCTCACATGTATTGTGCTTTCACGGACAGTTTTACAACGACAGAGTAACCACAAGTCATTAGATTTCAGTGAGAGATGTGAGGTGATATGAGTGACTGCATCCATTGGTGATCATGTGAGCACCAGTGTCGCTCTCTCATTGGTAGTCTGGTCTGATCTCATTACCCTTGGCGTATAATGTTAACATGTATGTTTTTGTACATTTGGACATATGCATATGATGTATTGACAGCATCTATAATATATGCACAGCATTAGAAACTACATTTTTTTTTTTTATAGTTAGTTTACTATTATTTTTGGAGCCATCCATACCCTAAACCTAACCACCATATAAAAAAATAAGCTATATAAAAAATGTAACAGGCAAATATATACAGTGGGTACGGAAAGTATTCAGACCCCCTTCAATTTTTCACTCTTTGTTATATTACTTGGACCAATCAGACACACAATTTTTCATAAGATTTAACAAATCAATTATTCATTAGATTAACAAATAATCAGACCCCTCACCCAATAAACATACTGGGTGCCAGCATGTCTGTGAATGATCCCAGGCCCCTGGTTACCATGGCAACCAGGACACCTCAGCCAGATCAGATAAACTTTTACAACCTAAAAGTATGTGGAGAGAATCTTCCTCCTACTCAGTTCTCTCTGAAACAGACACATACTGCTATAGGAAATGACTTCTTACATTAATTCATAGACACATTTACTTTGCTGCCGTACTATGGGTGCAGCAGGCGCAATGATATTACACAGCGCCTGAAAATAGGCTAACTTCTGTCAGCAACTTTTCATTTTCTGTCGGTCTTAGTACCCGATGTAACTACAGAAGAGTATAGGAAATAGGAATAATAATTTAAATAGGAAAAATATCGAAACTCTTTGGTCATTTTTGAGCGAGATGCTAACGGTCTAATCAGATTCAATGATCTATGCTACGCTACAGCTAAAAGTGCTACCGCCAGACCCGGAGATCTGCATTGCACATGCAGAAATCTGTATTATCAGATGGGTTGTATTTTCCATTATAGCATGTCAGTGACTGGAGTATTTTTGGATTTGCTCTGGTAAATTTTAGCTGACAGAAATTTGCATCACATTCGATGTAAGTACTATTAGGGTGAATTTTTGCAGCCAGTGTTCAACGCTTTGTCGATTCACTTTTGGTTTGAAAAGGCTGCTTGTATTTTTTTTTTTTTTTGAGCAAGGGTTTTTTTTCAGTTGGGGATCTTATTTTGCACATTTTGAATTGAGCAACTCTTTGCTATCCACTAAATCATGTTGGGGGTATTTAAGAAGGCACATATATTGATTATACTATACATGCTAATCTTCGTCTCACATTATGGATTAAAATGTCTTAGTTAATCAGTTCCCATTATTATGGGGTGGCTATGGGAGTGTTTTTCACAGTGCCTGTTGGTGTTGTGAAGAGCTTCAGTAGTCATTTAATTGGGCTTAGATTCCCACATATCAAGACCTTAATTTTAGGAGCACATGAAAGGGTTACTCTAATGAAAAGAGTCGTGTTCGGGGGGTGCGTTAATGAGTACTGAGGAGCTTAGCTGGCAAGTCTGACAGAGTCTTTTTAAGGGCCAAAAAAGTTATCTTCCGTGTCCTTTTGAGTAGTCAGCCATCACTGTCACCTTTGTAAGTGGCTGCATTATTAAGTTGATCCCTGTCATGAGCCGAGATAAGAATAAAATGTTAACAATATGTGGAGGAGATAAACTGAAAGAGAGGGGTATAGGGATGGAGGAGAGAGGGGAAATAATTGTGCTAAAAATGGGCAGCCTGGGCGCTCCAATCAGAATGTCACTACTGCCAACCTTTCTGTCTCTGGGGCACAGTAGGAACCGGGAACGCATGTGAAGAAGAAAAGGAAGCTAGTAGACACAGAGTAGGAGGGAGAAACTGATGTCTATCCTGGCAGGCATATGAAATTCTAAAGATTAGGGGAAAAAATAATCTCATATGAAAACTCATATTTAACATTTGAATCTGAAGGGCAAAATGCTCAGAATCAATATTCAGTCCTGTGCACAATGTCATTTTAGGACATAATACACTCTAAAAAATGCTGGGTTGTTTCAACCCAATGTTGGGTCAAATATGGACTAACCCAACTGTTGGGTTAAA